AATTTGAGGTTACACTTGTCACTCGTTGCTCGAGAAGGAGCAAGTTTCTTTATTTTCTATACTTTTTGTTAAAGGAAGTCACTGGGTGGCGCTACTTTCCGAAAAACGGAGGTGAGCTTTACGGGCTTCCGTAAAAAAAATTGTTGTTTACGTCAGTCCGGCATTAAATCTTCTGTAATTTGGTACCCAATTTTATAGAAATAATAGTAAATTGGCGAAGAAATTAGAAATATCCCGATCCCATGTATTTGGATAGGGGGAATCAGTCGCCTCTCTGACTTCAGCCCAGCTTTAATTTAGATGAGGAATTTCTATTAAAAAAAAAAACTACTCCATCGATAATTGCTCGAATGGTATCACAATTTTTGATAGACCAGGCATTAATGACGCCGAGTGCACTAGAAACGTGCCTTTAAAACTTTGCAGATCTTTTACGTTCTCTTTAACCAAATTATTTATAATTTCGATATCTTTATCCTTAATTATAAAAATTTTTTTTCCTTGGCGATTTTCATGCACGATATCAACGAACTCGTTAAAACTGGTTATGTCAGCTTTCTGCACTATGATTTTGTCTGCAGTGCGCTGGCACGTTGCTCCTACACTAGTCCAAGAGCAGTGTGAATTACCTATGCATTAATTTAAAAAGGATAAAAAAAATTTTTTAAAGACGGTTTCCTGTAGAGATTGACGAAAAGAGTATTTATCCCAAACGTCATTGATTGGAAATGATTATTATTATTGTTTATTAACAATTGAAATTTGGCAAAGTGCATTTTTTGGCCTTTCACTGCTTATGCAGCGAGAACCGTTCGTTTTTTCGAAAAAAATGTAGATACCTTTTTTTGTAGAGAATTAAATACTCCAAAAAAATCTACAAGAGCATATACTTACCTGTTACAGATGAAGAGATGCAGCGCTCTGAACGCGCGCACCAAAACTAAACTTTTTGAGCGTTTCGGCAAAATGTGCCGTTAAGCGCCTTTTCAATTAATCAATATAAAAAAAAAAAGTTCTTACTATTTAAAAAATTCCAAAAAACTATAGAATGTTCAAAACTGTTTTCTGAACATTTCCCCGTTGGAATTTTGGAAAAAATTGGATTTTTTACGGTGTAGTGAACGTCTCAACTTTGCGCATCTGTATTATTAAACAATCTTCAAACATTATATTACCATTTTAGGAGTGAATAGGATTTTTTCCGCTCTACAAAATAGCTATTTCATTCTTTCAAAAAAAAAATTTTTTGTCCCTTTAAAAAAACTGAAAACATATTTTTCGTAACCTTTACCTTTATTAAAGGGCTTAGAATATTATTTTTTAAAAAAATTATCTCTAGCAAACTTTTCTAACTCCATTTAGAGAGGATGAAAAAATTTCAACCTTTATTTTGTAATTGTTTATAAAAAAATATTATTTATTTATTTTATAAGTTTTTAATTAAGCACTCCCATATAATTCCAAGTGCTCTTCTCGACTATATTATTTAAAAATTCATCATTATTTATTCTCATTGTTTTTTTATCATTTTTTTTGTTCTACAAAATATGATTTTGGGGATATATTTTTTTAAAAATAGATTAACACACCAAGTAATTGGTAACACTTATTAATGTCTACAGAAAAATTTTGTTACTTCTTAAAATACGTTATGAAATTTTATTTATTCATTTTTTCTATTTTTGTACATATTGTTATTAATTTGTAATATTATAATTATTATAATTGAATTCCTCGAAATTTTCTGTATAAAAATGTGTATTTTGGTTTTTTTTTTCATCAATTATTAGCAGAGTTATCCTGCTTTCAATTTTTTATAAAATAATGAATTTCTTGCAGTCCCACAGAAGTGGCAGAGCTTAGTCAAACGTGTGCATTCTGCGTTCGAGTCTACCGATGTACATTTTTTTTTTATTTCTCACTTTTTTTTATATAAAAATGCCATTACTATCAATACAGTCAACTTCCCCATCTTCCACCAAAAACATTTTTAACCAATGAGAATCCGTAAATACGGCGCTGAATTAAAATTTTTTTTCCTTCTGTATGTCGGAGGTTATACATAACACATGCTATCCATCTATATTTAACTCTTTGCGCATGTTAATACGCAGAGAAGAACATCTGATAGACAGAGATAGATATATTTGTAATGAGAGTGGGGTTAAAATGCATTGGAGGAGAATGGTGACTACATTGGAAGTGACAAGATTTTTTGAGTTGACAACATCGAGCTTTGACTGTAATTATTTTATTTTAATGATTAAACATGTTTGTTTTTTTTTACGTTATGAAAATTGAATTGAATCACATACAATAAATAATTTTTTTTCAAAATTTCAACAGGAAAATGTTCAGAAAACGATTCTACAATTCTGGAATTCTGGAATTTTTTTAAAATTTTCTGTAATCTATAATTACAATTTTCTATAATTTTTTGAACGGTTCTTGCTGCGTAAGCAGTGATAGGGCAGAAAATGCACTTTGCCAAATTTTAATTGTTAATAAACAATCGTAAAAATAATTTCCAAACAATGACATTTGGCACAAATGCTCTTCTTGTCAATTTCTACGAGAAACCGTCTTCAAAAAATTTTTTCAATCCTACCAAAATTAATACATACTAGCATAGGGGCTTTTCATACTGCTCGTGGACTACACCGTGCGGTGCTCCTTTTCCGTGACTTGCCTCATGACAATTCCATGAAAATGACTTGTTAGGATATCAATCTCGAAGTTTGCAGGCTAGTACAATGAACATAGTTTTATTTCTATACTGTGTTACAGGTCCGTCACTTACAAAATATATATTACTCACATTCAAATGCAAGCATTGTAACACTGGCTATGATTGTGCTCAAATAGCTGCAACATCATGGGCTAAATTTGAGGAAATCGTGGAATGGGTAGTTGTTGAGTCTTCAGTGTAAACAACGACCGTGAGCAAAGATATTTGGGGTAGAGTTCCGTACTGGGGACATTTTCAAAAATAAATTCTTTGTGGTGGGATACACTTATATAGTGAATAAATTCATTTAGGCCGTATGAGGGACGGCGCAGATCAAGGGGGGAGCCACATATGACGAATGCAGGTACGATTTGAGGCGAATTATATTGTCAGGCAAGATAGCTTAACTGGTAGAGTAGCCAGCGCGTAACTGAAAAGTCAGAATATATTTTTCTCTGAAAATCGTCCTGAGCTAGTCGTGGAATAGTCCATATGTGTTTAATCAGCTAAAAGTGATGGTGTCCCCGATAAGGGACTTCTTTCAAACACTCCATGTGGATTACTGTATTTGTAAGTGATTGCTTTAAGGATTTTAATGTTTGATTCTGATAAACTATGTTTTCGGCATGTTTTAATAATTTCAAAAGTTCAGGTTCTTCCAGTTCTATTATCAAATCTCGAGGTCTAATATTCATATTTTTCTTTTTATACTTAGATACAAAGCATTCTGTCTCAGTCTTTGGGTCTTTATACATCTCTTTCTCGTGTTTCCACTGAGCCATTGATATATCTTTACTGTTGTCAAATTTCTCGTAGGGTAAAATGTAGGATAGTAACTTTTGAATAATTTTCTATTATTTGAGTACGTAAAGCTTCGCCAAACAAGGCCATTTTAACTAATTCTTTTCTTTGATTTGGATCTTCTGCCATACTGTAAATTTCATTTTTTGGAGTAAGCGCCTTCTTCACTGAGCTATTCTGAAACATGAAGACATGACTTTCGTCTAATCTTTTCGAGTTGTTTATTTGAAATAATTTAAACATTAATCAAGTTTGCTCCCTAGCAAATATTTCGGAGCAGAAATAAAATAATTTTTATTAACATATCAACTTTTTTTATAACACACAATTAGATGTTCTGTTTGATTCTATACGATTCTATTAAAATGAGTGTCATCAGATTGATAATAAGGATTTATCGGTAGATAATTTTTATCAACATATTAACTTTTTTCATAAGAAACTCTAGGATCGTTTCTTATGAGAACGCTTATGAATTCATCGAGCATGGGACTGTAAATTAGAAAATATTTTCTCATCACGATATTCTCTATTAGAATTTTGCTTTTTAGTTGATATAATACTCAGAACAGAAGAGAGGATATTTATTATTAGATGTTAAAGGAGTTCAACCTATTAAAAAATGCTGAATTTTTTTTCGACATTTGCAAAAAAAGATAAATGTTCTAAGTCGGATTATCTTATTGAATCGATCAATTTCTTTTTCAAATCTCTGCTCTCGTATTCTATAGAAATCTTTCTTTCGATAAAATCGCTACCTTTTTTCAGAAGCATTATAATCGCATTTAGTTTTGTCAATAGGAAAGTCTAATAACTTTCATTTTAATAGGATCTGACGAAGAATCAATTCGTATAGGATCTTATTTGAAATGGTCTACTAGTTTCTTATAAATCAATTCAGAAATTAAAATGTATTATTTGTTCATTGCTTCTTGTGAAATCTTAAATAAAAGGAAAAGTCATCACTTTTACTAACAAATTCTTATTACATTTTGTAATATCTTTTTGATACATTCTTATGGAACATATTTAGAAATTGAAAAATATTATTTACCTATAATTTCTTATTGAAACTTATCATATTGTTCCTATTTATTCTTACATATACTCATAAAATTCACCAAAAATATTTTTACTCTCATAAATTCTATTCAATTCTTACTGAATAGTAATAAGACCATATTTGGTCTTCCAATAAACTCGAGAGAATCTTGTTCATTCTTATAAATTGTGTATCAGAGTCTTTCAGTAATTATAAGTTTTTATCGGTTTGTTGTACCAGGGATTCTGCAATAACATAATTCCAAAAGAGTTGCGGGTATTCGTTTTTGAATGCTATTAAAAATACTATAATACATCATAGTAACGTAAAGATTTAAAATAAAAACAAATTGTTCTCACTAAGAAAAATAAATTCTTCCACAATAATCATGCATAACAAATTATTCAATCAAACTTCAATTATTTAAAGGAAAACTACCAAGATACGATAAACTGTTCTTATACTATTAGCGATGAGGATGGATCAATCAATAATATCACATTGACGTTTATTTCAACTGTAAGTAATTACAATACATTATATATGTAGCGTTAGATGATAAATAAATGAGTCAAGTTTCAAACGTTTTCTAGCCTATCGAAGGTAAACATACGTTTGATTTTTTATTTGATATTATCTCAGACAACAAGGTCAGAGCTTCATTAATATTGCAAAAATCGTTGGATTTTGAAACGACTGCAATGTATATGCTAACACTTAATGCTTCGGTGAGTCCTATCAAGAAAGTTAGTGAGTTGGCATAGACGACCATTTATATCAATATCAATTATATTAAGCCAGAAAATTTTTATGTATTTAAGGATGAAGGCAATAATCAAGGATCGTTAACTAGCGTCATTCATGTAATTGACATGCCTGACGAATTACCGAAGTGGATGCGTTTAACTACTTCAGAAACAATTAAAGAAAAAACGAGTCATGTACACAATTTTTAGTTTTTATGAACATGTTTTTTATTGTCAAGTGCTTTTATTTTTAACAAATTTTTTCAGACTTTTGAAATTTTAGCAAAAGATGGTGACGTACAAATAAATGCTGAAATAAATTACAGAATAAAAACGGAAACAGAAGGTAAAGTTTGAAAAATTTTACTCGGCACTGAAAAAAAGTTTTATTCGTTCGTCTATTACAGAAGAAATTGATTTAATCAAAATCGGTAAAGAATCTGGGAAAGTTGTAATTAATCCAATCGATCGTGATAAATTGCACAAAGAAGTTTTCAGGTTTCAAGTGTTTGCATATGAAACGGAAAATATTCAGTCTGAAATCAATGCATCTATAATTATCATCGTTGAAGACATTAATGATAATATACCAACAATATTTCCAGAGAAAAATTTGTCTATAACGATCAGAGAAGAATCATACATCACTTTAAATTTTAGCCCACCCATATCAGTTTCAGATCCTGATTTAGTATGATAGACCATGCACATATCGATAATTATCTTATCAAATAATTGGATTTTAATGCAATATATGATGTTACTTTTTCCTCAGGCGGATCACGCTCAGTATTCAGTACATTTGAAAGATAATTCTAAATATCATTGGAGCTCAGCATTCCGTATTATTCCAAATACTGGCTATCAAACTACCAATTTTACAATTTCAGTTGTAAATGCATCATTATTGGACTATGAAGACGAACACTGGAGAAATATGCAAATTCAAGTATAAATACTTAGTTTTTATGTAATAATTGCTATTATACATGCAACATTGAAAGTTTCATTTCTGTCAATACAATGTAATCAGCAAAAGTGTAGTTATATATATCTTTATTTCGTTGGCCTGTTAAGTAGAATTTCATCTAGTTCTTACAAAAATACCTTTTAATGATCGTGCAGGTAGAAGCAGTAGAAACTCATAATTTGAGTCACATCGGGCAACGAATAATTAATATTAACTTAGAGAATTGGAACGATGAAAGACCAACTTTTGATCATGAAACTCTTGAGGTAACCGTTCCAGAAGATGTTGGAATAAATGTAAATATTGCAACTATGTTGGCTATTGATCGAGATATCAATGATATTGTAAAGTAAGGTTTCCAAAGATTCGTAAGAACTAAAAATATAAAATTTATAGTTAATTAACAGCGTCTTACTAGTAATGTATATATTTAAGACACTCACTAACAGCTCAAAAAGACTTTATAATTGACGAAAAAAAAGGCCACATAAAGACGAAGGTAGAAAATTCATTGGACTACGAATCGATACCTATGTTTCTAGTTCAAGTGGTTGCTACTGATCTAGTAAATCACACCGCTTATGGAACCTTGATTATAAATGTAAAGGATGTTAATGATGTACCACCAAAATTATATCTGGTAAATAATTATGAAAATAACAATGTTAACACTGTGTAGTAAATTTTTTTGAAGTCCTGTAAGATTGAATAAGTCAAATTTTCAATCAAGTGAATATTAAGTTGAGTAATTAATTTTTACTTAATAAAATTTTTAAAGATGGAAATATTTAAATTTTTCATGAAGTCTGATAAATTACATTTATTCTCTAATTTATCCCAATTAATTTTTTGTATAAAATTTTATCGAAACATTTCTTCACAGGATTCGGTTTTATTTAGTAATGTAATCTTTACAGGCAATTTACTACAATATGAGTGTGTATGATGAGTTGTATTTTATTTATAGCCAACTTTAATGCCTTCATTAGAAGAAGAAGCATCACTAAATACTACTGTTGAGAATATCATTATTGCTAATGATCCTGATACTGATGCGAAACTCCATTTTAATATCGATTGGAACACAACGAAAGCTTTTAAAAACAGTGTTGTTGTTGATCAAAGCTTTTATTACAAGTAAGTTTTGAATTTTACAATGAACCAAGGAAGAGATCTGTGTGATAATTCATATTGTAAAACTAGCAACTATGAACTTCTTTTAAAAAATTGTTTTAAATAATGCTATCTAAATAATTATTATGTTTGAGATGAATGTGCAACATTTTCCCAATATTAAACATTTAGCATATAATACACGAAGAGAATTTTTTCATATAATGGAAGTGCAAAAATAATATATAAATAATAAAATAACTCTGTTTAACAGTAGATTTTGGGTTGCCGTAAGTAATTTTTGAGTTATCTTAAATAATTCTTTTTCTAAGACACCTTTTAAGGCTCAAGTTTACTTACAAAAACTCAAAATTTACTATCGAATAGGAATATTTTTACTTATAAATTTCGAAACGTGGGCTTCTCATTTTTGCACTTACATTTAGTGAAAAAATTCTCTCCGTGTATGTAACAAGTATGATTAATTTTTACTGAATAAATTGTTATCACAGGTGTTTAACAATTCAAACAAATTACGTTGATAACAGCTCTGGCAATGCTGAAGGAGTTTTCGTAGTTTCCGGAAGAATAGATTATGAATTATTTGATGTAATGATCATCAATGTTTCTGTCACAGACTTAATGACGAAACATAATAAGAATACTACATATGGTAATTATCTTCTTGAATAAACTTGAGTATAAAGCTATGAATCAATAGAAATGCAATTCTCATAATAAATGAATCCATCGTTTAATTTCAGCATCACTCACCCTCAATATTATCGATATAAATGATAATTTTCCTCACTTCAATGAGATCAAGAGTATGGCCGTCAATGAAAACGAAATATCTGGTACTGTCGTTGGTTCTGTAACTGCTATCGACGAAGATGGACTGTGTTGCAACCAGATGTCATATTTCATGAAGTAAGTAAAAAAGACTCAGAAATAATCCCTCTTTCAAAGTCAGACCGAACAAATGACTAGAACAATAATTTTTACTCATGCACCTATAACATTCGACTCTATTCTATTTGTTTATTATTTTGTCACGGTTTATTCCTGGTATGAAAATTTTTAATTTGAAATATTAAATTTAAAAACTAATCAATTCTTAATTATTGCTAAAGTAAGTTAAATTCAACTACGAATCATTTTTAATAATTATTGAACAGAGCTATACATGTAACAATAAGAAAAAATAATTTTCAATGCTTCGAGCTCAGTTGTCCAACGTTCCACCAGAAATATCACCTTCCCAAAATATAGAAAAATCGAGTAATTAGAAAAATTAATTACTCACGGTTTAGATTAATTAACCACCCTCGACAATAATTTGGGTTTTAATTACTATCAAATAATGACCAAAATTGTTCACAATAAAAGGAGTGCATCCTTTTGAGTGAACCTTAACTTTTACAATACTAAATATTAAGATTTTTCATAAATATAAATAGGAACAACTTTTTTTTTCACTAATAATGAAATGCATTAAAAACAATTAAAATCGTGATCTTCGCTATTAATTCGAGTTCTTCTGATGGGACATTTTTTCCCCTACTGGAAAAAAGTTACTAGCCACTTAACATGAAAAGAAACGAGCTTTTTCTGTTCATAAAAATTCAATTTGTTCAATATACACGTGAGAACAGGAGCTACGTAATGAATCACAGTTCTATGGATAGAATTTTTATTTTTAATAAAGCAAATATACTAATTATGTAACATGAATCGGAAAGAATTTTTTTTGTTTATAACGAAAAAATTGTTGTAAAGGAGCAGAAAAAAAATTTCACAATGAAGTTTGAATTCTTTTAATCAATTATCAATACTTACAGAATTATCACTTTTCTTTTAATCCAATCACGAAACAATGCGTATCTGGAATTGGCTTATTCAAACTACGAACTGACTAGACAAAATTTTATCGATTAATTCATTGTAATGTAACGTGATAATGCATATTACGCGTACGGAGTCACGAGAATCAGCTAGTAGATTGAGATGTTCTGGCGGGAAAATGTATTCGCGCCAGAAAAGAATAACTATTGTAAAATTTAATACTTTTGATTCTACTATTTCTATTATTCTATATGAGTATCTCGGGGTTTTTATTTAAGCAGGGTACTCGGAGTCGAACCACCCTGTGGATTATTATTACTACTTCCTAGTGCTGTACGTACGTATATTCGCCTTTACTTACCTTTCGCAGCTCCTGGACGTGAGATTTCGGCGTGAATATTGCGAGGCGGAAGTTATGAATACGAATGATTTATAATGTCCCTGCGTGGGCTTCAGCAACAGAACAAAAACGACGTGAAAGTTTTGATTGGATGTAGAGAGAAATTTAGTCCAGTAGACATGTAGAGACACGACCCTTCAGGACCCTTGAGACTCCGGAAAGGCATGCAAAACTAATCTCGAGAGAATTGACCTAGGATCATTATATCTAACACAATATACTGGAAGTTGTCTGTTTATTTACGAGATACAGCTTGCGCGGGATTATCCACTACGACCTGAAGCGGCTCGGATCGTTTACAATTAATTTCCAAAGTAATAGTAATACTGAAGTTAACGCACCCCGGGTACGGGCCGGAATATAGTTGATTAGAGAAAGGAGAATACAGTATGATGTACAGTAAAATAAGATCGTGGCTTCGCTCAATGCCCTTGACATACGAAAATTGAAGGTCAGCTCACTCGATATGCGATGCTGATTTTCCAATTCTAATTAGACTGCTTACTGCTGCAACTGATAGTGGATTTCTCCGCGTCAAGATGTCGAAAATGCCCTCGGTGGACTACCCAGCGTCCAGACCTGATAGTCCGTTAGCTCTGCAACTCCTCCAGCACCTCCAATATACCTTGATTGGCAGGAACAACGGTACCACAATCGCGACAGCGAGTTCCAGCTTCATTGGCGGGATCCCCTCTCTCAAGTGGCTCCGCCCCCTTGACTGCCGCAGCGCCGCTGGGTCCTAAGCTTGTCGTTGTTACCATGGTTGACCCTTGAAGGTCATCCGGGTTTCTGCTGTACCTTTGGACTGTGTATAGTGGATGGTTGGTATTGCCCATGGAGAATATAATAAGGAGGCCGCACTGACGTTGGGGAAGTAGGCAAAATGAGTATCAAAAAGTAGAGTTGTAGAGTAGTACACAGAAACGCAACAAACGGCGCTGGCATCAGGAAGCGTCGAAATAAAAAAAAAAGAGAGGGCATATAAGGCGGAGCATCGTAATTGAGAGGAGGAGGAGCATAAAGACAGAAAGTGGTTCCCTCTGAGGGACCGAAATCGAAGCAAAATAAAAAACTAATAGAATTGAATTTAATACAAAATAATCTGAAATCAACCCCCTGCGTAGAAAAAAAATTTGTTCAGAAAAGTAATTTAGGAAAAACAAGAAATTGACGATTGCGAACATCAATAAAAAAAAATTGAATTTTAATGACTACATTGAATATTGGAAGGGACAGTCAGCGAACGCTGAATTTGACCTTTTGGCGTCCAGCTTTTCGTCTCGCTGTACTTTTGAAGGAGACGTTTTCATGAAAAAATTCCCAACTCATCGATTAAATTAACAATACACGACTATTGAACATTTGTAGTTGTTAATAAAGAAAAGAAATACACTTCTATGACTATTTTGAATATCTAAAGGGCGAGATAGCGAGCGCTGCTTTGACCTTTTAGCGTCCAGCCATTCCGTCTTGCTGTACTTTTGAAGCAGACACTCTTTTGAAAAAATTCCCAACTCATCAATTTAATTAACAATAATCGTCTATTAAAGAACTGTTGTAATAAAAATTGGCAGATTAATAGAGAATAATCTGATCTATAATCCTGTCCAACTAAAATAATTAAAAACCGTGAATCGACCTCGCGGGCAATTATGAGAGCATCAATTTTAGAGAAGAAGGTACAGAAACCATGCTTTTTCACCTTCTAAAATCTGTCACTTTTTTCAATATCAATATTATAAAATAATGTACAATCGTGAATAGATCTTGCGAGCAATCATGAGAGCATGAATTATATAGAAAAAGGTACAGAAAACATAATTGCTCACATTATTGCCCGCGAGGTCGATTCGCGGTTTCATTTTAATTGGACAGGATTATAGATCAGATTATTCTCTGTTAGTCTGCCAATTTTTATTCTTTAATATTGATATTGAAAAAAGTGACAGATTTTAGAAGGTGAAAAAGCATGGTTTCTGTACCTTCTTCTCTAAAATTGATGCTCTCATAATTGCCCGCGAGGTCGATTCACGGTTTTTAATCATTTTAGTTGAGCAGGATTATAGATCAGATTATTCTCTATTAATCTGCCAATTTTTTTCCTTAATATTGATATTGAAGAAAGTTACAGATTTTAGAAGGTGAAAAAACATGGTTTCTGTACCTTCTTCTGTAGGCTGTCTGACCTCAACTGATGTAAGCGGATCTACCACCGTCGCGCTTTAATTTTCTTATCCCTCTCTCTTTTTCTATTCTCCCACTTGTTTCAATTTTTCTGACGCTTCTTGACATCAGCGCTGCCCGTAGAATTTAGGAGAACTACCCTCCAACTCTACTTTCAGTACCAAAATCCTATCCCTGAGCTCGGCCTCCTTATTATATTCTCCATGGTATTGCCTGCAACAAGTTGGGATTCTCTCCCGTAGGTGGAGGTGTAAGTAGAGTTGCTGGATGTGTTGATGATAGAGATGGCACCACCCTTCCACGAAGGGGTAAAACTACTTGTGACAAGATAAAAATGTATTACTGTTTACACCAGTCAAAAAGTATCTACGTAGACAAGGTCAATTTTCTTATCGAACTTTCTCCTTCTAATAGTATTGGTTATGCAGGGAAGTTTATTTGTTTAATCGATTGATAATCTAACAAAATTGTTATATTGACCCAAGACAAGTCGCGTCAAATTTAAATTATCGGCTATGCATATGAAAACCACGTACTAGATAGATAGATAGATAGGAAGATTTATTGTTCAGAGAGTTAAACAAAAAATTCCATTGAACAGCAAAAAAGTTACAGATACAGTGTAAAAATTATATTATGGAGCAGCTAAATAAAATTACAGGTGTTTTCGCTCAAAATGAGTACACTAATTGATTACTTTTAAAGCCACATGTGTGTGTGATATAGTGGTAGATGATAATCGTCCAGAAACTGCTAGAGTACGCCCAGCTGCGTACACAACAAATTAATATTGAGACAGCAAAGGTGAGATTGTTGCGCAGGGTACGTAAATAAAGGTTGCCTCGACAAGGCATGAAGAGCAAATTGGGGTGAGTATAAGCAGTATGAGATAGTCACTGCTTTGCTGATGAATAGATCGATACCAGCCTAGCAACATCATCATGGCTATTTATGAAGTGTATGATGTCCTCACTCTTAAACGAGGCGTGGATGATTGAGTTTTTGGCCCAGACATATTTAAAGCAGATCTGCTGAAGAGTTGCTTTTGCTATCCCAAGTAATTGGAACGTCCTGGAGGGCAATAGCTCATTAACTGTGACCTCGAAGTCACGAGAAGAAATCGGAGTGGCATCTGGTGGTAGTTTTATGCGGTTAAACATGGTTGAGAAAAACCTGCCGAGCTTGTGTTCAGCAGCAATAGCTGATTGATCAAAGTGAGCATCAGCATATTTCACAGCAATAGAGCCAGTAGACTTAGGCTCGGATATCTTTCTGATAACACCAGTAGAAGTAGAAGTAAAAGCTAGAGAGGGCACTGCAGAAGAAGAAGAAGACAAAGGCAGCAATTGAGCAGAGACAATAGTAGAACTGGGAGGAGAAGGCAATCTACGCATAAACCTGGATTCTATGATTTTGCCAGCAGAAACATATAGTTTAAGGGTATCAAGCACTGCCATAACCAAAGGTTGAGGGTTGGAACGCGAATCACTTTCTAGAAAGCCTGATCTCATCAGCTCTGTGTTCATGGCCTGTTGCTTGATAAGCTGCTAAAGACAAGTAGTGTAGCTGCGGCTAAGGCTGAAGCAGAAGACGACGAAGAAAGAGTAGGATTAAAGGTAGCAGATACTCCACGTTTCTCAAGCTCCTCAATACGTAGAATTAGTCGTTCGAATGGAGGCCTCAGTTCGGCATATTCGAGCTTAAAATCCTCCACATCCTTGCAGCTAATCTCCACTTTGGCCATGAAATCAGGCAGCTTGTTCATAACTGCACCGTGATCAGCCTGCGTAACCCTAAACTCGGAGATGGACGCGATTAATCTCTTAATAGCTTCCATAATATTCTAGACGATTTTAATTTTGATCGACGTTTTCAAAGCTACGAAATTTATAGTGATTCGGATATTTTCAATATTTTAACCATGAAAAATTTTCTATTTTGTATAATAAGTAAATTGATAATAGGTTTAAATAGATAACACTACATCCCTAAATGTTAGATGTAATTTATATTAAACTTATTTTTTTTTTTAAATGAAAGAAGATCTCTAAGAATGTCCCGCCTTTTCTTGCACTGAGCCACGAGGCCATTGGACTGGGTCTGTTTGCACAGTAAAGACGGTCGTCTTATGTTTAGGGCCTGCAGGTACCTGGTTCCCTTTTAAGCCCCAGAGCAGTCCCTGTCGATTTTCATAGTGGTGCGAATAAATGTTGTCTTTTCACCTTCGAAGATTCCACCAAGCCCCACATGATCCCCCGGTTTCCTCAGTATCATGTAGGTAAGATCTGTAGGCCTGATGTCAGCCTTAGAGGTCGTCCCTCAATGCCACAAGACATCGTCCTACCTTCAGGGATTTTATCGGTTGCCTCAAGGTTCCTTGTTTCCTCAGCATCAGCTTAAAATAACGAAAGAAAGTGCGAGAAATTTTGGCGTTCACCTGTGCAGAGCCTCTTGCTCATGTAAGGCTGTATACAATGGGGTATCGCCTGGTTCCCCAAGGACATCGTATCGGCAATGGTACTTTTCAGAATATTCAGTCATCAGCGCGATAGCTTACACCTTTGACTGCCTTTGGAGAGGTCTCCTGCTCATCGTGATCTGAGAAAAGACTATATTTTTATAAACGGGTCTTGTCTCGGCTGGAAATCGAACCCGCTACCTATAGTGTGCCAGGCTGGCACGTTACCACTTAGGTCACAATGTCAGTATATTTAACTTACTCTATCAATTTGCTTAAATTTTATGTGGACTAATACCCATAACGAGCTATTTGAATATTCAGTTGATATTTTTAAGTTATAATATACTTTTAAAAATTCTACTAAGATACATTAGCGGTTGTGCCTTTGAGTGTGGAGATTTGAGCTCGAGCTATGGAAAAAGCACGGGAATGTTTCCGTTAGAGAATCCAAGGGAAAACTCGGTAACTGTAGGTATGCTTCGAATAGGCTCTATATTCAGACTTTTTAGGACGGAAACGGAGTGTCCTATGTAATTATCTCGGGAGAAAAAGGTTAATAAGATGGGAATCTGGTTTACCAGGTACTTGTAATGGTGTATTGGTTGGCTTATTCTCGTGTGACCTTGAGTAAAATAACTGTCTGTAAGAGGCTTCAAGAGGATATTGCGAATTCTCACTTACCTTATTAGGAATTATATATTCGCCGCTCGACGTGAATCTGCTGCGACAAAATGGATAATACAAGAGGATTCGATTAACGACTTTGATGAGATCTTCCTGGACACCGACGTGCCGAACAACGACGAGAACTTAATACAAAGATAATATTCGGGACAAATGCCCTTGTTGTTGTTTTTATTATGATGATAATGACTACGTCACATAGTTGACTTAACTATAGTCATTTTAGTCCACTGAACCAAAATTATGGTAAAAATAACCATTGAATTTTCTTTGTGTACCAAATTTGGGAGTCGTAGATTTTAATCACTCTATGAATATTATTACTGAGCAGGGTTTACTCAATACATATTCGAACGGTAACACGCAATTTGCGTGCCTAAAAAATACAATATTTCATTTACTCAATTTTTTTTTTTTTCAATTCATATTTAACAATAAAAAAGATAAAATTTTATGAATTTTCGTGTATTGCTGTTTATTGATTGATATTCAATCAATATTCTTAGTTAAAATTAGTACACGATTTATTATTCTTAAATGTGACACTATTAAAGACGAAACTGTACGAATTTTGAACTATTGTTGATCATCGTCATCAATTAATAAATTATTGAGTTGATTGTGGAGTGATAAGAAGGAAGGAGATGAAGGAATAAGGTTTTAACACCCCTGCCCTCCCTTTCCCGACTGTTTACCCCTCTTAACTATCAATTTTTATGAAACTATAGACAACAGTTGTTAAATTTGATTAAAGGATTACTTGAAAATCGTTGGTTGAGAGGACCGGAAGGGATCAAGAAGGAGGAGGGAGATTGAAAACTTCAGTTCAACATTTTATGCTGTCCTATTCTGTCTCCCTTTTATTTCTTCTAGCGATTAATTGAAATATTACAAACACTGAAAAATCATTACAATTGCATGATTTTTCTAAAATTTTAACGAAGATCTTCAAATTCAACATTATTTCTCTAGAATTTAAATGTATATCTTGTATCTGTATTTGTATTGAATTCTTATTTCAGACCTTTGAATTATACTGGAAATGATCTACTTCAAATAAATGAAAATACAGGAGAAATTCAAGTGATAAAAGGTGAAGAAATTGATGCTGAAAAATACGAATTCCTTTATTATAATATAACAGCAACTGATGGTCAACTTGAAAACACAACGGAAGTATGTAAATACACTGAGAAAATTCTTCACTTATTAAAAAAATAAGAGTCATATCTCATCGTTAATCATAGCATTTTGCTAAAAGCATTCAAATCCGTGTGATATACGCATCAGTTAATCGATAAATACAATTTTCAATTGTTCATAACAAATCCATATTGTTATAAACAATGCGTAATTGTTAAGAGTCATATTTGGTAATGAAAAATAATGTCTAGTCAATATCGACTTCATTTTCAAATGAAATTGTTATTGTTTGGCTTAAAAGTATTTTAAATAGCTTATCTTTTCATTTTTTTATTAGTTATTCTGTTATAAAAAAAAACGGCTCGATCGAATTCGTTTAAATTCCTTTCCGGTTTTTTTATAATAATATCATTCGAATTAATTTTGGTCAAAGTCGATATCTCAATTCGTTCTTGAGAAATCGAAAATGAAAAAATGCTGACGTCCGTACATACATACATACATACATACATACATACATACATACATACATACATACATACATACATACATACATACATAAAAATATGTCAGTATGCTTGCAAATATCTTGAAACGTGGAGATTTAATGAAAATTCAAATATCACCAATCGACCCAATTACAATAATTTCCTAATGGGAAGTTAAAAATAGACAGCGCCTAGTTAAATAAACATTAGGTTTAGGATTAAAATTTCCTAACAACATATGTTGTCTACTATTAGGATAACTTTAAATGAACATGTAAACGTAGTTTCGTTTATGCTCGGAAAAATATCATTTAGCAATAAAACTAGCCTCAACTCCCATAACTGACAAAATCAATCATTCTCCTATTTAAGAATATACACTCTTTAGATACATTTGAGTTCCGTGCATATTCAATTATCGTATTTTCAAAATGTTCAGGTGAAATTATTACATTATAGTTAACTTTTAAAGAAAAATTTTCTCTGTGCAGTATGTAAGAAAATGTTTTCTAAATACTATTCACATGATTTTCTAAGTTAATTTTGGAATGGTAATGGTTTATTTATTACTTTTGTTCAGGTCCGCATATATGTAAATGATATGAATGATAATGAACCTCAGCTACTAAACGATAAATTTAATTCAACGATTCATATTTGGGAAAAATCTCCTCATGGCACTGGCATAGTCACTATCTATGCTAAAGATTTGGATAGATCATGTAAGTACAGTAAATATCAATTTGAACGTGTTCTATTACATATTTTCTACACGGAGAAAAATCAGTCAGTACATCTGACCGCAGAAAATTAGCTATTGTTTTTAAGTTATTTTTACTTTATTCATCATCTTATGAAACTTCCGATGTCAGTAAAAATGATTGTCACTCTGTCAGTAAGTGATAAAAATAAATGTACTGACCGAAGAAGTAATTTTTATTACTAAAGATACTGATATTTACAATGATTGAAAGTATTTTTTCTAATAGTATTCAATCAGCTTAAATAGTAAGTTTTACTGATTAAAAACATATTTTATGCTCCTAACGAGCAGTACGAAGCTCCCTCCCATATTCTATGTAGCAAAATTACTAGAGTCTTCTAATAAAATTTACTAATTTAATTGATAAATTGACTTATCAAGTAAACTCATATATACAGAAAAATTCGAATCATTTTCAATTGTTTCGAATAGCTAGGCGGGCTAAAGCGTCGGTTTATTTGGGTACGTTAAGTGGTCGTACGTACAAATCTCCTCCCTCTCCTCCGTAGAAGACTCTTTACCAGGTCGAAATTAATGTATCCCGCAATCTTTAAACTAATGTATCCGGAAAATTGGTGTTTAGTATCTGATACAAATAATTTTTGAATTATTTTTACTAATTAGTTTTTAGCCATTACTGTTTTTGTCGTGTACTAGTCGGAAGACCGACTGAACCGTATCAGTCTTTTTTATGAACTTAAATTTATTTTAATAATCAGTAATATGTGAAGATGAGTAGATTCTGATTGGATACTTGAAACAAATGTGATAGACATCGGTAGTGATATTGACATTCTCGTATTAAGATTACGGATTCGAATGTACAGCCTACTGTTTCGCTCAATAAGTTTCGAGCTCCAAGTTTACTGAATGAAATCAGTCACTTCTACCTCATATAGAAGTTGCCCATTTATTAGCTAACGAGTCAGTACAAATCATCTTTTATGATGTAAAAAATTCCGTGGATCAACTTATATAGTTACACTGCACTTATTCTACTCTAAAAGTTTTTCCCTTTCAATTTTGTTTGATAAAATTTTATTAGCATTAAACATAAACAGTCAAACTGTAAGCGTATATATATCCATGTGCTCATAGATGTATATAGTCATGCATCTATATAAACTTACATTGAATCTTGAAAATATATCTGCATTCTTGCTGTGAAATCAAAAAACGGATAAAATGATTACCTTTTGATAATTATTTCAATCAGCTATATGAAATACGAAAAAAAATTTCATATGAATTTATTTTGTCTAGACATTTTACATAAAAAAGGTGTCTCCATTGTTCTACTATTTTATATAGTTCCAAAGTTAAATTAATTTTTGATATTTTTTATGACCTTAACCAATATTTTATGTTTGTAATGATGTGACGCACAGCAATCATATCAAGATGAAAATATTGATAAGACCAAAATGTTAACAATTTAGGCTGAGCATACAATGTAGTCAAAACGTTTACCATTTAAAACCGAAAACATTACTTCAGTAATCAAGCAATTAATTTGTAAATTAATCAACGATGGTTTCTAACAAATTCATCAAATTGGAATTTAATATTCCGTAATCCAAAGGCTCCCGGTGATTGTTGATATTTCAGTATAGGACAAAAGTGTATGTTAAATATATGAAATGTAAGATAGGAAAGAAAAAAAAATCATTAATATAAAGGTGTGTATTTACAAATATACATTAAGTTTTGATCATACAGAAAATCGTCAAAAGCTAGTGATGAGAATTAATTAATTCTCAGTTTGAATTCGCCAGCTGACAGGAACTTCGGCGGCCATCTTGGAACTGGGTCGATAACCAATCGACCAAATAATCAATAATTCTTAAGGCTGGGCCATGGAAAATATAATAAGGAGGCTGCACTGACGTTGGGGAAGTAGGCAAAATGAGTATCAAAAAGTAGAGTTGTAGAGTAGTACACAGAAACGCAACAAACGGCGCTGGCATCAGGAAGCGTCGAAATAAAAAAAAAAGAGAGGGCATATAAGGCGGAGCATCGTAATTGAGAGGAGGAGGAGCATAAAGACAGAAAGTGGTTCCCTCTGAGGGACCGAAATCGAAGCAAAATAAAAAACTAATAGAATTGAATTTAATACAAAATAATCTGAAATCAACCCCCTGCGTAGAAAAAAAATTTGTTCAGAAAAGTAATTTAGGAAAAACAAGAAATTGACGATTGCGAACATCAATAAAAAAAAATTGAATTTTAATGACTACATTGAATATTGGAAGGGACAGTCAGCGAACGCTGAATTTGACCTTTTGGCGTCCAGCTTTTCGTCTCGCTGTACTTTTGAATGAGACGTTTTCATGAAAAAATTCCCGACTCATCGATTAAATTAACAATACACGACTATTGAACATTTGTAGTTGTTAATAAAGAAAAGAAATACACTTCTATGACTATTTTGAATATCTAAAGGGCGAGATAGCGAGCGCTGCTTTGACCTTTTAGCGTCCAGCCATTCCGTCTTGCTGTACTTTTGAAGCAGACACTCTTTTGAAAAAATTCCCAACTCATCAATTTAATTAACAATAATCGTCTATTAAAGAACTGTTGTAATAAAAATTGGCAGATTAATAGAGAATAATCTGATCTATAATCCTGTCCAACTAAAATAATTAAAAACCGTGAATCGACCTCGCGGGCAATTATGAGAGCATCAATTTTAGAGAAGAAGGTACAGAAACCATGCTTTTTCACCTTCTAAAATCTGTCACTTTTTTCAATATCAATATTATAAAATAATGTACAATCGTGAATAGATCTTGCGAGCAATCATGAGAGCATGAATTATATAGAAAAAGGTACAGAAAACATAATTGCTCACATTATTGCCCGCGAGGTCGATTCGCGGTTTCATTTTAATTGGACAGGATTATAGATCAGATTATTCTCTGTTAGTCTGCCAATTTTTATTCTTTAATATTGATATTGAAAAAAGTGACAGATTTTAGAAGGTGAAAAAGCATGGTTTCTGTACCTTCTTCTCTAAAATTGATGCTCTCATAATTGCCCGCGAGGTCGATTCACGGTTTTTAATCATTTTAGTTGAGCAGGATTATAGATCAGATTATTCTCTATTAATCTGCCAATTTTTTTCCTTAATATTGATATTGAAGAAAGTTACAGATTTTAGAAGGTGAAAAAGCATGGTTTCTGTACCTTCTTCTCTAAAATTGATGCTCTCATAATTGCCCGCGAGGTCGATTCACGGTTTTTAATCATTTTAGTTGGGCAGGATTATAGATCAGATTATTCTCTATTAATCTGCCAATTTTTTTCCTTAATATTGATATTGAAGAAAGTTACAGATTTTAGAAGGTGAAAAAACATGGTTTCTGTACCTTCTTCTGTAGGCTGTCTGACCTCAACTGATGTAAGCGGATCTACCACCGTCGCGCTTTAATTTTCTTATCCCTCTCTCTTTTTCTATTCTCCCACTTGTTTCAATTTTTCTGACGCTTCTTGACATCAGCGCTGCCCGTAGAATTTAGGAGAACTACCCTCCAACTCTACTTTCAGTACCAAAATCCTATCCCTGAGCTCGGCCTCCTTATTATATTCTCCATGCCTTCGTACTTAAGCCTGCATTACACAATTTATAAACATAAACGTATAGTCGGACTGAGAAGAGAGTTCCTTATATGCTCTTCATGTGTTCTTGTACGCTTGCGCAGTAGTAAAAAACATGGTAGAAGGGGTGAAAAATCAGTGGTGGGGAGCCCGAAAGCATTGAAGCAACTGAGGAACTCTCCTTTCAGTCCGACTATAATGTCAGAGATGATGTGTAAGCTCTGTGAGTAGAACACCAAGCTTTCATTTTACCGATTAGGGTTCGATCCCAGTCATAGCCAATTTTTTTTTTCCTTTTTTTTTCATTACAATTTCATATAAATACCAAAATTGGTTGTTTATATAATTTCAAAATCAATTTCTATTGTCTTTTAAAGACAACACTTTCGAAAAAAGAGAATTCATCGTAACTCGTTCTTCACCCTCAGCTTATTTTCAGAAAAACAAGTTGTTTTCCGCAATTAATTGAAAGAATAATTTAATAAAATATATGAATTAATTTATAAGTATATAAAGTCACTTCAGCAAAAAAAAAAGAAAAAAAAATTGCCTGAGACTGGGATCGAACCCTGCCCAGCAAAAAAAAAGATTGGTGCTGGGCTGAAGTCAGAAAGTTTCCCGGAGTTGATTTTACGCCCTCGTGTTGTGCGGCAAAAGGCCGAAGCTTGACATCAATTGAAATTGAGCTCGAAAAATGATAATTTTCAGGGATGCACTACAAAAAGGGAGCCTTAGGGCACCAAGAAATTTACAAATTTTAGAATAATTTGTTTCGAGCAAGACAGAGCACAGAATATATCTATCTATCTCCGTCTTATTTTTCAGAGAAGACTGCGAGTTCGAACAGTTGACAAGCAAGCACATCCCCT